AGTTACGGGACCAGGAGATACTCACTTCTAGAGTATCTATCCTAAACTGCAAGAGAGGAATTATTAAGCAATGTGACAAGATAAGATGAAATTAAACATAAAAGATTCGTTATGTGCTGCTGTTTTATATGCACATTTCTAGTGTATTACTGTCAGTGAACACTTTATTAGGTACAACTTGGTTCCTGGTTGGTTGGAACTTTAGTTGTCATTTGAGTACAGTGACCTCGCTGTCATGTTCAAGAAACCAGAGATGATCAGAGTGTTATAACATGGTTTATTATAAGATGAGTATTTGGTCATTACATAGCCGACAAGGTCAGCAATAGGCTGTGGTGTTGAAACGATACTGAGTTGGTATTAAGGAGCCCAAAGTGTGAGCCAAAATGTAATCCCCACACCATTACACCACCACCGCCCTGAACTGTTTTGGCAGGATGGATCTGAATGTCGCAAGAGAAATCAAGGCTCATCATTTAAAAGTACATCTTTCACATCTTTTATGATCCAATTTTGGTGAGCCCATGTGATTTGCACCCTGTTTCCTGTTCTTAGCTGACAGGAATCACATCTGGTGTGGTCTTCTTCTTCTGCTTCAATGTTCCATGTGTTGTATTCAGAGATGCTCTTCTGCTTATCTTGATTATATTATAATGGGTTACTGTTACCTTCCTATCTGTTTGAAGCAGTCTAGGGATCCTCCTTTGATCTCTGACACCAACGAGACATTTTTTGCTCAGAGAACAGCCGCCCCCTGGATCTTTTGTTCTTTGTTTATTCTTCTTGTGCAGGAAAATCCCAGTAGTTCAGTAGCTTCTGGAATAGGCCACCCAGCAACATCAACCATGCCACATTCAATCTCACTTAAATAACTTTCCTTCCTCTTTCTGATGCTCAGTTTGTCTGTTTGTCAGCTCATATGAGCTGTTCGCACTAAAGTAAAAAGCACCATCACTTCATGCGGATACCCTTTCGGTGCCAGCTGTGGTTGCAAGGCTGGAGCCGAACAAAAACACCC